TGAATGTCTGTGAAAACATTGGATCTATCTTGAAAGACAACGTTGAAAAAAGGATGCTGTCTGAACCTCTCGCAACTCAATTTAGTCGTACCAGGATGGAGGAGCATATCGATGCTGTCCTTCGAGAAATGGAGTTCAACACAGAACTTTTTGAGTCACTTTTGTCTTCCTATCCTACTCGTCTTCAAGCTGTTCGTGATGCCAATGGAGGGAACACTGAATATTGAGCTTGTAAATATAAACCCACAATAAATTGTGCTACCTATTGGTATTTTCATTTTTTTCCTACCAGGCTTCGTTTACTCTGGGGAGGGGGGGGCTATCATTGTTTGGCACCCTGTATAGCACTGCCATGGGATAGTATGATTTTTTTTTTCTGAACTTGGCACATTTTGCATGGCAGGATGCAATCACACACCCCATGTCTCATCATTGGTGACAAAATAATTTGGATCTATTTGAGAAAAAAATATTCCAGTAGTTGGCAGTACACTCCAATTGCTGTCCATTGAGTACAAGCTTGTGAAACCTTCTGGACACCTACTCAGAGCTGCATCAAGGGAGCTGTGAGCAGTGCACCTGCACAGTTGCTGACTTGAGGGGGCACTGATTGGCTGCCAAATCGCCAAAGTTTTATTCATATATTGTAATATATGAATAAAACTTTTTTTAAGCTTTCAAATTAACCTGAATTAAGTTAAATTAAACATATAAATTAATATCTAATGTATTGTTGGTGCTGGGGAAGCTGGTGCAGTATATAGGGCAGGAGGGCACTGGATTGATATCTCACATGGAGGGGAGGTGGGATATCTTGCACAGGGTGCAAAATATCCTTGGTACAGCTCTGCCTACTCAACTCAATCATGCACTTGGAAGTGTGGGCCATGGCAGATGTGTTCATGACAGCATGGTTGCCTACTGAAGCCATGGAGGGCTTTCTCTAGCACAGCCAAAGCAGCAGTTGAGGAGGGATGGTTCAAGATGTGACTATGATGATGGTATGATGGTGTTAGTTCTCTGCTAATACAGGAACTGAACCAAACTGTGTCATATTTCAGGGGTAAAAGTGGGCACAAAAAGGAATAATATTTCCCTGAGACCACAAGAGAAGCAAGGAGTCATTGAGTAGATGCTGCTGAAATTCTCTGTGGGCAGCAAGCTGGCTGGTGGATGCTTAGAAATGATTTTTTTTTTAATCAGACCCAAGAAAAAAAAAGTATGCACTGGAAATGAAATGCACTCTAGCTTCTTGATTCTGGCCCAGAGGGGGAGTCCTGTGTAGCGTTGGCTTAGGGGTGCTAGAAGCATCAGTCTGGACATGGCAACATAAGCAGGTTTCCCTGCAAAGTGTGCAATGCACATATGGTGACATAGTCAATTCTGATTTTGGTATACTATGCAGTCCAAAAAAAGGATCTATTATATTGTTACACTAAAATAGAGAAATGGCAGGGAAGGGAAGAGGTTCTGTGCAAAGGATTGATGAAAGGGGCTATTTTAGTCAAGCTTTTGTCTCCCTGTTGACCATGAATTTTCATTATTAGTCAATTTTTGTCATGAGCTACAATTGTCAACAAAAAAGAAAATCCCTTCATCAATTAAATTAACTCTTTAGTGGGAGTGGAAATACTGGAGGAAATACTGGAGGATGCTCCTCTGCTAGCTTGAGCCTCAATCCCATCAAGTTTGGATGGGCAGCAATGAAAATGAAAGAGAGGGGTCAATTTTCCCCAAAATACCACTATCAAGGATTCAATTCCACAATTTTCATGTTTTCCTAGGGGCTCACAGCCCTAAAATCTGCAAGATCATCTTGCGTTCCTTCCAAATTTGGCCATGTCTGCAGATTCATGGAGACATCCAATCCATGCCCATACTCTATGAGTTTATGGGAGAAGCTAATGACCAGCAACCATATAACAGAGAAGGTAGTGCCTGACTTGCATTACAAAGCCTCCTAAACATCCTTTTAACTCTTTCACTGCGTAACATAATTGACATGGGGTAGAGAGTACTAGCCACTATGTGATAAAAGTCTACCACAACAGCAAAAGAGTTCAAATATGCCCATGAAAACTGATCAATAGAAAGAGAAATTCGTTTTTAAAACATACGCAAATACATTGTTTCGGGTAAACCTACACTGTTTCCGGATTGAATTTATATCCCCTATAGGAGGAGTACTTAGGGCTACCATTGATTGCATGTATTGACATCTTGCACATGGGTAGTTATGTCTACCATCTGATGAAGCAGAAAGAAAGAGAAACCTCTGGAAATTTGTGTTTTCTCCATTCTCCACTATAGGGGAGTCATATGAATTCAATCCAGAACAGTGTATGTCCACCTTGATCTGACCTTCCAATAATTGGCATAACTGATGTCAACCCACAGACCCAAGCACATTTTGAAATAACCAATACTAGAGCTTTAATTGTGTGAACAAAATTGGCTGCCAGCCATAGCTTCTTTCTTTTATCAAGAGGAATGTTACACCATCAGAATTCATTTGCCAAGTTCAAAGGAGATACAGTAGGGCTCAAAAGGAGGGCCTTATTTACCTGGCTCAGGGCTTCCTGGATGTTTTCTTCTGAGAGTCCTTTCTTCCGCAGAAATTCCAATTTCTCAGTGATTGGCCTTCCTTGGATCTGTGCATTTTCCAGGAACTTAATTGCTGCCTGCAACTAAAGAAAAATCAAACCACTGCATTTCTGAAAGAGACCTTCTTATAATAGGTCAATAATGATCCCTGTAAAAATAGCAAAGCCCTGAGATTAAACAAAAAAGAAAGAACAAACCAAAGCTTCTTGGCCTTCACCAGATCTGGCATTTGATAATGCATTTGTCAGGTCTGAAGAAGCCATTCTTGATTCAATGGTGAGATTATGAGGTTTGACCCAACAGATTATTCTTCAGGGTGGCATTGATTTTCAACAAGTGACCAATTTCTTTTCCACACAATAAATCTTTCAATACCAGTACCTGTTCAGAGGCAAGATCTTTTGAATCAGCTTAAGGCAATAGGCATGCATGCACTCTGGCTTTCTTTGTGTGTGTATTGGTAGGGCAAACAACTAGAGTACATATGTAGTGTCTATAGCATATTTAGCCCTCAGCCTCAGCCATTCATGCAAACATGCTCCATATGATGTCCCAACCACTCATGTCATGCCAGCAATGTCACAGATGGGATTGATGGCTTAAGTACTTTAACATCTTGCATTTTGTGCTGGGATTTCTCAAAGTGAGGATTCTTATGCATTTTTCACAATTTATTCATTGGAGCAGAAAATCCAATTTCCAATAAGTATAAAAAATACCAAGGAAAGCAAGCAAACCATTAGCAATAAATTTAAAGAAACCATTAAAAGAGGTGTAGCCAAAAATATCATAAAACAATATTATTTTTGGAAAATGCAAAGAATTTGAAAGGATAACCCTCTCAGACCTTCCATAACAACTAAATCAGTTTTACCATTGCAATGGAAGTTATCTAATGATATTTTTACAATGTATCCATTATGTCTCTAGGTACATCTAGAGCAGGGTTGGGAACCTATGGCTCATGAGCCAAAAATTTTGGCTCATTGAGTCATGGCTGAAAGTCATGGTTGTCCCTCATTTTTTCTCAGAATGCATAGATAGATCTATTGCCAACTTCAGGAAAAATTCTGTTGTTCTGGAAGTCTTTTGCTCACAAGCACTTAGCTCAATCTTAATATGGCTCACATGGCCTAAAGGTTCTCGATCCCTGATCTAGAGCATTGGTGTTCAATAGGATTTTGATGACCACCAAACTTGCAGTGATCTGGTCACCATATTTGCCACATTATACAAAATATACGCACTATTAATAAAAAAGAATGTGCAATTTTTTAAAAGTAGGTTTGAGGTTGTAAACTCTCACCAATCAAGACAAATATGCAGTAAAATACAAGGTAACATGTGGCAAGTAGTGAACATATTGGACACCATGGTCTAGAGCAAATAAAACAGAAAGAATTTTGAGGTTTCAAAAACTTGAAAATTGACTCATTTTAAATTTTATCCCTTTCATTCTAAATAACTTTGTGGCAGGATATCTTAATAACTATGCCAGAGAGCTGGAATTTTGAATTTTTTTCATAACTCAGGAAGGATGGATGAAAATTTTCAAGCAAATTCCTTTGAAGGTACAACCAAAGTTCCAGAGACTGGCCTTTCTGACCAAAGACTGAGTAATCAATAGATTACTCAGACTGGAATGCCTCATTAGCCTCATTAGTCAGAATTGATAGGTTCAATACAACCTGTGGATGACCTATCAATGAAAGTCATAATGTCTACCAAGCAGATATTCTAAAATCTGATGGTATAGGACAAGAAAGTACAAATAGGTAAATTTTTACTTTGAGGCTTGTCTGAGCATTGTGCTTTAGTAATGAAAGGCCAGTCTTCATGTCTAACTTATCACAGTCATCAATATTAGTTGTCCCAGCAAGAACTACAGAGTTACTGACATTTTGAATTAGATATGCAAGCAGGAACTCACTAATTCCAATGAGTTTGGCTCGTGACGTAAGAATGCATTGATCATCAAGATGGAAGAAGATAAGACTGGAATGACTGAGGTATGCAGAGGATATTAGCAGAATCAAGAAGAAAAACAGGTTGGGGAGGAGATCATTAACTCATGACTGCATAGCTTGGAGGGCAAGGGGGTGATGCCAGGGAAAAGGAAGGATGACAGTAATTTAGGTACAAAGATTTACAATACATCTGAAGGACCTATCATATACAAGCATTTCTGTCAATTGGAAAAAATAGCAGGAAGCAAAATGTTTGAATTTGACTCATGAAATCAGTCACATTCTACTTACTCAAATTTGCAACACATTGCTATTAGGGAATGGGGTGATAATACAGGGTGTCCTATTGAGATGATTACCTCTTGTTCTCTGGCTGTCATGGAACTGGAAGAATCTACCATGCTCTACATTTTCTATTCCGTTAATTGTCTTGAATGTCTGGATGAGATCACCCCTTCTTAACCTTCTCTTGAGCAAGTACAGTCCCAGCACTTCCAAACGCTTCTCGTACGGAAGTCCCTTAACCTCCTTAATCACACTTGTGGCCCTCCTCTGTACACCTCGCACGCGCAAGCGACGGTGGCCAAATGCAACAGGAGTCTAGGTTACATTCGTTGGTCGTTGCAAGTAGGACTTCGCGCGTTATTCTTATTATTTATTTGTAGGCCCTTATTTGTAGGCCTCCAAAACTGGATGCAATATTCAAACTAGGATCTTACTAGCGCTGCATACAACGAAAGAATAACGCGCGAGTTCCTACTTCCAACCGAACGACGAATGAATCCTAGAATCCTGTTATATTTGGCCAATGTCGCTTGCGCTTATGAGGAAAACTTGAGGTCATCGTCGATGGAAACCATTAATTATTGGAGATTTGTCAAGATTATCTTAATTACAGGCTCTCGAAACAGTGGCATCGCCAGCATGTCAAAAGATAGGACTATATAATTAGGCTAATGATGGACTCTTGAAAGGCACTTCCTACTGAAATGAAGAAAAACATCTCCAAGGTGGCTGAGACCAGCCAATACAACTTCACATGGGAACTACACAGCAGGCAGCCATGACACATGACACTTACAGGGAGGGGGGGACAGATAGAAAGGACGAGCGGCTAAATCCTGTTAGCCGCTCGTGTGGAAAGGGTGTTTTGAGTTGATACCGTGGTGATGCTACTTATTATCAAATTATCCATCAAAATTATTTCAGGAATGCCAGATCAATCTATGAGGAAGATTCTAGGTTACATTCGCCGTTCGGTTGCAAGTAGGACTTCGATAACGATAACTGTGCAGCAATCGAACACTTATGGTGCGAGATAGGTAGGTATTTATGACCCACTCTATAGTCTGATTACCCGTTCCTTGTTCCAGAATTCCAACAATAGGAATAAATAATCTGCTTTCAGCAATGAATATCCAGAGGTGACTATATGGACTTTTTGATTAAAATCATCCAGACTACATATGAACTCTTATATTAACTCGAGTCACATAAAAAATTTGATGGAAATCATGTGAAGCTGCTGGGTCAGTTTCCTCATGGCTGGGTTCCATCCTGTCTCACTTTATTTACCCCTTCACCCCAAAAATGTTTAGGGTTTGCTGAAACTCCACACCAATTACCCCTTTGGTGTTATGCTCAGAATTAATATGTCTAAAGCCATTGGCTGCATGTTCAGTGGTCGCAAAGTCATCCTTGCTATCTTTCTACAAAATTGGCATCAAAATGTTCATGAAATGTTCCTTCAGGTTCATGAAAGTACCAGAGAACATCATCGATATCATTAAGTATGAACCAGAAACTCATCATCAACCAGAAAACGGCTTTTACCTAAGCAGTGTTGTTGCACAAGTCTGTCTGGCATGCCTTCTTCAAGGTGGATCAGGGTGAGGAGGTTAATGGAAGTGCTGAAGGGTATTGAGATTTGATGGTTGAAAATGAA